GGAAATCCGGATCTTGTTCACGCTTTATGCTGCATGCAGTGGAGTGGAGCGCAGTAGATCTCCACACTGATTCCAAGTTAATGAAGGCCTGTCTTGCTGCCTTCGCGATCCTGGCTTTGACGTCCTCATCTGTGCCACCACCTGTAGTTGAAACGATACTGCCTAGGTGGGTAGGTAGGTGCAAGAGACTACTTCCTTTAGGTTTCTCCCGTTGATGGTGATTGTTGTTTTTTGTTGTTGGTTGGTTGGTTGGGTATCTTCATCACCTCTGTCTTCTCTACGTTCACCTGAAGGAAGTGCCGTCTTCCTTCGCTGCCCTACCTCTTCTGTCAACTTGTTGGCTTTTGCCTGTACATCTTCGAGTTTGTGTGACATTAGACATAAATCATCATCAGTGAAATCCAAATCTTCTAGGGTCTTTTCATCGGTCAAACAGCGTATAGCCATCTCGTTCCTCTCGGTTTGCTGCACGATCCAGTCGACCACAATCAGGAAGATCATCGGTGATAGTAGGTGGCGACCTTGTCTTACTCCTGTCTTCACTTCAAAGGCGGCACTGAGCTTTCCAATGTGAATCACTTGGCATGTACCATCATATAGCACATACCTGCTGAGTGAGGTTGATAAAGGTTTGTGGTACTCCGTAGTGTTGAAGCAGCTGCCTGCCAAATTACTTCTCGGTCGACTTTGTCGAAGGCCTTTTCAAAATCGATGAGGTCGAGGTCGAGGTCGAGTTGACTGTCATTCTACACTCTGTTCTATAATGCGTGGCGTTGCAATTCGGTCTGCACATGATTTTTACTTCCTGAATCCAGCCTGTTCCGGTCGTAATTTCAAATCCAGCGCATTTTTTAGTCGGTCCAGGATGATGCGGTTTAATATTTTGCTTGGGGTGGACAGCAGCATGATTCCACGCCAGTTGTTGTTCTTACAAAGGCTTTGGTCTCCCTTCTTTGGAAGTTTGACAAGGTAGCCCTTCTTCCAATCGGTCTTCTTTCCTTCTTTCCTTGCAAACCTACTGCAAGTGGTGCGGGGGTGTCCGTTGTTGTCTCTGCGTGTGTTTTTAGTGCTTCTGACGGAATTCCATCTGGTCCTCCTACTTTCCCTAATTTCAGCAGTTTTATGACATTCAGGACTTCTGCTTTTGTCAGAGGGCTTGTGTTCACTGGTAATTCGGTGACTGGGCTACCGACGGTATTTCTGGACGAGTTGAAGATGGCGTGGGTGGTCGATTCAAGAGCTTTTTGAAGTGGTCAGCTCATCGTTTCCTTTGTTCCTCCTCTTTGGTAACTAAATTTCCTTCACTATCTTTCATTGGTCTCATCTCCATTGATCTCTTTCTAGATAGTATTTTGCTTATTTGATATAATGTTGTCAGGTCTATTCTACCTGCAGCCTGTTCTGCTTCACTTGCCAGTGTGTCGTAGAAGTGTCTTTTGTCTTTGTGCGCACTCTTCCTCACTTCTTTGTCCAGTGTTTTGTACCTTGTACTCAGTTCCTCTTTTCGTTGTTCATCCTTGCACTGCCCTGTTTCATTTTCTGCCTCACCATTTTCCTCTCCTCTGTCAGCTTCCATGTATCCGTCGAGATCAATTCCTTGTCTTCTTTCTTCTTCCTTATTAATACGGTTATGCAGGTTTCTTTCCACATAGCTTTCAAAGAATTCCAGTGTTCATCCACACAGGTTTCTTCAGGGATGTTGCTCGATATCTCCCATTTTTTCCTGATAGCTGACGTTAAGACGTCCTTTGAAGTTTCGTCCTTCGGTTTCTGTTTTGGGTGTTGAGCTTAAACTGTGGTCTATCATCACCAACTTCTGTGAAGGCTTTCAACCTGATTTGGAAGGTTCCTTGCACCAGATAGTGGTCTGAATTTACATCTGTTCCCCTCTTGACCTTGTGTCCAGTAGGCTGGCTGCGTCTCCACTTTCTTGAGATTGAGATAAAGTCGATCTGATTTTAGTGTGTCCTAGTGTCTGGTGAAATCCATGTCGCTTTGTAGATATCGTTGTGTTTGAACACACTACCTCTAATCATCGAATCGTTGAATGCGCAGAATTCTGCAAACAATTCTCCATTCTCGTTCTTTTCACCGAGTGCTTTTCGATCCATTATGAGTTCTCTTCTTGTGTTGTCCGCTCCCAGTTTGGCATTCGTTTCACCCCACCCATTGAAGTTTTGATATCGCCAACTGGAGTCTTATCCATTACTGATTGCAGTTGTCTGTAGAATTCCTCCTTCTTCTCTTGATCTGCATTATTTATAGGTGCATAGCGTAGCATTGTATGATTGTGACTTTCTTCCCTTTTGAGTTGAATCTTGCTCTCATGATCCTGCAGGAGATCGGTTGCCACTGCGTGAGAACCTCCGATGCTGTTGTGGAGATTATGATAGCCACTCGAAAACTCAATGTGTTCGTGATTGTCATCTGGGTGACAATATCGGAGTAGATTATTGACTCTCTATTTGACAGTTTGGAGAGTTCACTTCTATTCCATCTGCTTTCGCAGATTCCTAGCACTTCCATGATAAACCTTCTCATCCCTTTTGTAATCTGGGCAGCCTTGGTAGGTTCAAACATGGTGCGGACGTTCCATGTCTCCATGTTTACTTTCACTTTCATTGAGAGAAGGGAAGACATATCGGCCGATTGGCTTCTCGAAGGCTTTCACCAACTGGGGTCATTTCGCCTCTTAGATTGCAGCGAGGAATAAGTTTAATTTTATTTTTTATGATTTACTTTGTGCTTTGAAGTTTGTTTAGCGGTTAGATTTGTTTTACGGGGAAGGGTTGCTAGCCCTATTCATAGTCTTCCCTCTTTACCCGGGCTTAGGATCGGCTAGTTACTAGTGAACTAGTTACCTTGGCGAGGTGGAACTGATCGACTTAGTTAAACGTAACCCCCACATCTAGCCAACCCGTGAACAAGTGTATTTAATGTCAGACAGACGGAATCAACGTAGAAACTTGCAAACAAGTGCAGTTGTTCAACTTGCCACATTTTACAGTAGTATTAGAAAGAACAGGTGCATAGAATAAGAGTGATATCCAAATAGATAAAGTTGTATGAGAGAATTAACAATCTGTCTATAATGAGAGCTACTGGAGACAGAGTGTACATTCATAGTGCATCTAAGAAGCAACTCCTTGAGGATGTATATTGGAATCCCGATATTGATTTGCCTTTATGATATTTATTGACACATGAACTCAACCGTCTCCAGTAATGGCACATTAGTGAATAGTGATGAAATATCGAGCGACATCATATATTTTCTGTTTACATCCACATTATCTAGCCTAGAAATAAATTAAAAGACATCTTTTACACCGTGGTTAACTAGTTCTTTGTGTAAGGGATCTAAAAATGATTACTAGCCACTTGGCAACTGCGTGATATGGGGAGTTAGACATGTCTAAAACTAGACGAAAGGGGAGTCCAGGTTTGTGTACTTTAGGTAGACCGTAAAACCGTGGTGTGTTACTCCTTGTAGGTCTAAGTGAGTCGTATATGGATTCAGAAACTGTTCCACTTTCTTTTAGTTTCTTTAGGGTGTTTATCTCCTCTGCTTTTCTATTTAAGTCTGGAGCCACCAAGTCTTTGGAACTTTGTTTGATCATTAAAAAGAATAGTCATTTTACCAATATGGTCACTTCTGTTCAACAACACTAATCAACCGCGAATTTCTTCTGCGAAGAATTTCTTTCCAGTTCGGTGACATGTATTTTCAAAGAGTCTAGTTGATTAGTAATAATTGTTGATTCTCTCATACAACTTTATCTATTTGGATATCACTCTTATTCTATGCACCTGTTCTTTCTATACTACTGTAAAATGTGGCAAGTTAAACAACTGCACTTGTTTGCAAGTTTCTACGTTGATTCTGTCTGTCTGACATTAAAATACACTTGTTTCACGGGTTGGCTAGATGTGGGGGTTACGTTTAACTAAGTCGATATATATATATATATATATATATATATATATATATATACTCCTTTACAACATTTGAAGTAGTGTTTATAGAAGAAATTTGTGAAAATAATATTAATAACGAGGAAGATTTTATATTGTTAAAGTATTGGTCACAGATTATGTATTGTTGGAAAGTTGATAAGTGGGTTCCGTGATTTCCGGGATAGTCATACGATTGAAAGCCTGTTGGCACCAACCATGGTGCTTTTCCTTAATTTTTGGCTATTAACTTGTAAAGCAATAGGTCGTAAACATTTTTGAAATGCGTGAAAGTATATAATACGATTTTAAATAACATAATGATTGAAACAATGTTGAAAGGAGAAATTTAATGCAATATATTCCGTGGTAAAATGAGGTACCCTAAAGTTCAAGCAGGCTGCCACCTTATAAGATAACGATTAGTGCAAATATTCAGACTTTAGAAGACATCAAAGAGTGGATACCTCTGCGCCATGGTTACGGATTTTCAACCATATCACCAAGAGTTCTATACCACCGATTCCTATCATCTCGGGGATCCCAGTCAGGCAGTCTACATCTACCTGCATAACTCAGACCATATACAATTCATGTTCGAGCCACCTTAGTCAACTAAAGTTCACAACCTCATCAATCGACTTGATGTATGAAACACAAACATATATGACCACTAAAACAGGAAATAGTCATAAAGTACAGTTTTATTTTATATTTCTGTAACTTTAAACCTGTTGGCTTAGTTGAGGAAATCAATCAGAAATCACTAACTTACTGTCTATTCCTTCCTAGTTAGTTTCACGCTCTAAAATATGAAACATCACATTATGTATGCCGATAAATCTTCTACTCACTTGTTACTTATTCATGTACTCTGAGTTCTGTTATACATCCTTCACTGCGATTATTTAAGGATGATGAATAAACTGTATTTTTCATCATACTTTCTATGATGAATATCTTCAGTGAAACGTTCAATAATTTATTTTTATCAAGGTGATTTAATTCAATTTTTTCCCATAATTATCTTTAAAAAACAAAAACAGGTGAAGTATTTCGATTCTGGTGATTATAATATGGCTAAGTCAAAGCCTTTAGAGAAGGCATCATTACCGTTAACCAATTTAGATTCTCCAACGGGTGATACTATTCCAACTGTGGATAATATTTGTGTTTTACGGAATAAAAGTATTTCATTACATGCTGGGAGTACTACTAATACTACTACTATTACTATTGCATCATCACAATCTCCAACGTCATCAAATCCAATAACAAGTAATATTTCAACTACATCAGGAGCAGCAGTGACAACAACAACAACAACAACAACAACAACCTGTCGCTACATAACCATACCAGCTCGTACACAGATTGCTAAATAATAAGTCTCTTTAAAGTGCTTCTATGTTTTGTGATTATCTTATATTTTCTTTCCTGTGTTAAAAACAGTTATAATTTATACCTTTTTTTTGACTTGATCTATTATTTAGATAATTCCCATCACCATTTTGACCTTTCAAACCAGTTAACTTTTTAACAAAAGTTGAAATATTACATTAAATAATGTGATCCTGATCTAATCTCAATGGGCCTTAATTTCCATAGTGCTTTTTTTTTCTTTTTATCATTTTTACTCACCCTTTTTTCTTAAAAGTTTGTAACTCAGTTGAATTTTTTCTATACATAGAATATAAGTGTTATCTATTGAAGTTTGCACTGGGTTATATAATGTGGTTGACTGAATCAAGTGGTGTTCACGATTAATAGTTATCGGGAGTTGATTAATTTAGGCATAACTGTCATCATTCAAGGTTAATTATCATGCAATTCATGAATTAATTATCTTTTTAGTTTAAGCACAAACTGAACACAGCATCAAACAGGCAAAATTAACGTAGTAGAACCTCGCACATAAATGGATCCGTTCAAGTTGACACACTTCACTGTAGTATACAAAGAACAGATGGTTGAAAGGAAAGTGATATCAAAGTAGACAAAGTTATGTTAGAGAATAAACAATTTGAAAATGAAAGTTAGTGGAAGACGTCGAAGAGCGCCATGGGGACTGATTTTCAGCCATGTCACCTAGTCCTGAGCTACTGATTCCTTTTGTTTCAGGGACACCAGATAGTGTACATTTACCCACACCAGCTCAGATCAACCGTCAAAGACTGGTGCCACATCTTGGCCAATCAATGTTGGTTTTCTGTATATGCTACATTCTATCGTTCCATTTGGCCTTCTTAATAATATCCAGACATGAAATCCAGTCATTTTTATTCTTTCACTATTTTCAAGGAGATAGCTAGATGAACGTTATTAGATTCATCATGAATATTATCGTTATGAGCCTCATCCTGGAGAAGTATTGGTGTGTCATGTATGTAACTGCCATAAAATTTCAGCTAACCAATCGCTTCTTCAAGAAGATCTTTTTTTCATAAGGAAAACCGTCTTGGTTGGACCTAATAGTAATACCATGGCAACACCGTCTATAGAATTCGTTGTCAAAGAGGAAGATTGCATTCAAAGTGCATTACAGAGGAAGTTATTTTCAAGTGAAGACCAGAAGTTCAATAAATGAAGTAGAAGTAGGTATTTACAAATGGTATATACAAATTTCATGCATACCTTCTTATTGTTTTATTGAACTATCACCCTTCAGCACTAAATACTCAGTATAATCGTCTAGGTAATCAACTTATTTCGTTCAATTGAATTCCAATAATAAATGATTCTATCATTACTGTTCACACAAGACTTTTGTGAATTGACTTCCTTAACTGTGTTGTATTATTAGCAAAGTGATAAGAGAAATCTCATTATTGTTAACGCTTAATTCCTCGATATATACAGATAACAGTAGGACCTGGAGAAGTTATAGTCTAAGAAAGCACACCTGACCTACTCGGTATATCTGTCAAGATTAGATGCAATCTTGTGATGTTAGACAGTTGAATTTAGACTGCTTCATCCGCTCCTTTATGCAAGGTCAGTAGGGTCTCCGAAAGCCTTCACTGAAGATTTGAGCACAGGTATTTAAAAATACCTCACTTTTTTCACGAACGGAGAGGTAACTGTAATCGGACGGAATTTTGGGCATGCTCCTGGAGTCCCTGGCTTAGCTATGCGGACTGTCCTAATTTCTTTCCAGGCAGCTGGTATGGTGTTTTCTAAAAACGATCTATTGAACATGTTAGCTAATTGATGGCATAAAATATCAGCACAGTTTGTGAATATGAAGCTTGACCTGAACTGTGTGAAGGGGTCATGGATTTGGGACATTTTTAAACATTCTTCTCGGTAAACTCTGGATAACAATCTTCATTGGACATACGTTAACAAAGTGGGATGGGACAGGTGGGTCAGTGTATAAACGATTTGTTCAAAGTACAGACGTTATAATGTGCTTCTTTACTGAGGTTTTAATACCAGTGGAGTCTTTAAAAAGGTTTCCACATTATGGGAGAGCCTTTCCATGACAAAAGTTTCCGGTTATATAGTAGACTCAGACATTTAATTTCCAACCTAATTCAAACTTTCAAACGACAAAATCCAGCATTATCCCTTACTTTACATGGTCCTTCTTTTTCTCGTCTTAATATCTGAAGCTAGAGAGAAGATATACGATTAAGGCGTAGAAAAAGCTTTTCACTGGGACAACAGATATCCAGTCAAAAATTGAGATAGCACGTCACTACATCAATAGTTTCGTACAAAGCATCGCTGTCAAATATATGTTCCAGTCTATACACTGTAGCATTTCCCTTGGACTAAGTATGTTACTATGTGCAATCTTCTTATATGTGAAGGCCACTTTGTGTACTTTGTCACATATTTTGGGCAAAACGTACAGTGCAATGATCTGATTTTAGCACTGAATCTCCCTTCCGAGTCCCATATATATATATATATATATATATATATATATATATATATATATATATATAATATATATATATATATAATATATAATATATACATATATAATCACTGATGAATATCAAGTCTAGTGTTTCATTCCGACATGTTGTGAAGTTAACAAGGTTTTGATGACTAAGAGTTTTGAGAAAGCTTTGATCACAAGAATTGAAATCATCACATATTATCGACAAGAAACCACAGAGTATAGGGGCTGCGAATTCCGTAAATACCTCAGAGAAACGGGATAATTTGGAGTAACTGCAACCAGTCGTCACATAAATATTTGTGACATTAATAAAGTGATGCTTGTTCAAATGTTTTGGGCGGCATTTAACAGTGATGCGTTCGTCGTGATCAACTGAGAATTTGAAGCATATGTGACCCGAAACCCACCAATGGGTATTGATGAAGGTAGCTACACCACCACCGCTTTTCTTATAACATAACGCTTGAGAAAAGCTTTTCAGAGAACATTCTATCTTAGAATATCTGAATACAATTCAGCAGGGTTTTACAGTTATTTACCTTATATTATTAAGTCTGCGATAACACAAAGGTCAAGCTTCAGTTCATAGATAGCCAAGGCCTCTGCTGTTTTTGGAAACTGAACACGGAGGAAACGTGAGGTGTTTGGTCGAATTCGGTAGACAACCTTAAAATCTTTGTTTGGGTAGGTTGAATGGTTGGAATCGATTAAGTGCATAAGGATAAAACTTCTGATGCATTTCCTTTCAGCCTTATAAAGCCAGGTCGGGATGTTCTTGTATGCGTGTTGACAGCAATCTCTGACTACAGCCGGTGTACCTTGCTTCACAGGAGCAGGTGAACTGGTAGATACACATGGATGTGGCCTGTTGAGGGATATTGTCTTCTATACAAACGGAGAACAATTTACGTCGTAAAAATCAAGTGAAGTTTGACTGAGAAAAAAGTCCTACTAATTGATCTAGAAGGACGATTTTTCAGGAAATCTGATTCTACATCACCTTTGAAGTCCAGATTCAGGAACAAAGTTGTTGTAGAAACTGAGCTGGTAACTGGCTTCACATGTGTTTCTCGCATATTCTTATCGATAAATCGGTTAGGATCGCGGTTTTCCACAAGCGTACCTTTTAGAAAGTCAAGTTCAAGTTGGACAAATTCCATACTACAAATATTACTTATTCGATGGCAGAGTGAGTAGATCGGCACCCAGCTATAGCAATCAGCAAGCTATCCATTCCATGTGGGTTTACTGTAGATGCATCTTTCCAGCTTTCCATTGTTACGCCTCGTAATCAGTACGTCAAGGAAAGGAATAGCTGATTTCAGTTCCTTCTCAATAGTGAATTCCAACGCTGAGTGACAGTTGTTAAACTCGCGTAGGATGTAATCTAGATCTGTAGTTGAGTTGCAAATTACTAATATATCTTTTATAGATGTCAAAATCCCTAATAGTTTGACTAAGAATATAATTTTCTAGTTTTGACATGAAACAGTCTGCCATTAGAAGTCCCACTGGGGATCCCATTGCAACCCATCATCTTGCCGGTATATCTCACTACCGAAACTGAATTGCACATTAAAAATACATCTCATCAATAGCTCTCTCAAGTAGTTTGTTGGAATTCCTAATTCTATATTGTGTGAATCGACGAAATCACATGTGTAACAAACTTTCAGTGAACAAAGAGGTAACATCTAAGCAAAACACAGCTCTACTGGTGGTGTCAACGTCATTAATACTATCAATAGACTCAAATGAATCACGAACAGAAAAGTGTGACACTTGCCTTCTGACTAGTTCCAATATTTCAGCTAGCCACTGGGCGATATAATGATAAGGAGAACCTGACATATCCAAAATCGGACGAAGGGGTAATCGTGTTTCATATATTTTTGCCAAGCCAAAGAGACGTAGAATTACCGAACCAACGGGTTGGATGCTTTCATACAAATTAGAGGAAATCAACGCACTGTCCTTTATTTTCTTCAGGATACCTGTGAGTTGGATCTCAGTCTACTGTGTTCTGTTGCTCTTACCTGCAGGTTTATCAAACTTACTTTGATCACAGGGAATCGATAGCATTTTCATGATGTATTCCTGAAGATTCATCAAAACGACACCCCCTCCTTTATCACGACGACTTAAGATGTCATGATTGTCAGTGATCGACTTGAGTTGTGTTATATGCTCATTCATCAGCAGATGATTCAAACTGGATTTTGAATTAGCGAACTGGTGTCAGCACCTGAAATCAACAAACTAAGTTTTGTGTGGACATATTTCAGCTAACATTGCACGAAGTGGCTGACGATGGCCAGGGATGCATAAAACACGTCTCAGCCATCAGAGTGGATAAAGGGTTACAACGTCACCAATCGACTTATCTCTGCTACCTAAAAATCTAAGCTTGACTTCTGCAGTACTGACATGGTGGTTATACGACACCTGTGTCTCACATGTGTCCAATAGAAAGGACACAGTGGATTGCTTGATATCTCACTTACTACTTGATATGAAACCGTATACTTCATAGATGCGAACAATTAATTTTAGGATTACAATAGTGTTTACCTTTTATAAAGTTGATTATTCACCTACAAGTGTAACAGGCCAACTAGTAGTCTGACAACTTCACTATTTCTAATTGATTTCAACAGTTACTATAAAAGCGTGTAAGTATGTCATGCGGTTATGTCATTCCATTATCCAATCCACGATATATCTGCTCAGTTAACAAGTAGTCATGTGTTGTTGTTAAGATTTGTAGGTCATACTTCTCAAAATACGAAATCTGAACAC